TATTCTTATTGGATGGTCTTAGGAATGGTCAAATCATCTGGTATGAACATTACTTTAATTGTAAAGTTGCAACATAATAGGATATCTTGCCTATGAGGATTGTTGCCAGCAGTGGAAGGGTAAATTCAGTGTGGTCCAACTGTTAGCCAAAGTTTTAATGCTTTAGGCTGTGCTGTGCGCTCTGTGGAGTTCTGTCTTCTATGCGAATTTGGTTTTAAGTGATTTCTAAACAGTGCCTTATCATGAATCTTGTTAAATTGTTGACAACTGGTCGCTTTTAGATGCTGTATTGTGTTTAAACCATTGCCATATTGTATGCTTATGTTAGACCTAATATTCACCGATTATTGTCACGCATGTTACATATATTATTTTTATTATTATTGTCACAATAAATTATATTTTTATAATTAAGTTGTGATTCCTGTGTGAAGTAAAGATCCTCTAATGAACTTCCTCTGGGATCTAAGAGAATTAAAATCGTGAGTAATTCTCAGCTTTATTATTCGGGCACAGTGCCAAGATATCAATTTTGATATAATAAAAATTATTAAATAAATTTTTGATAATTTTTATGAAAATATTATTTTAATATTTATCACCCCATAAATATTCTCATAATCTTCCATTTGATATGTATATGCTGATGAGGCATTGATGCTTACAGAGAAATCACAATCCCACTGCTGTGATACTTTTGACAACACTTTTACCATTATTGGTTTGGTGAAAAGGGATGACTTGCCTTATGTTACACAGTCAAGTTTAAAGGGACACTATAGGCACCTAGATCACTTCATCTCAATGAAGTGGTCTGTGTGCCATGCTCCTTTAGTTTTAGCCCTTTAAAACATTGCTATTTTGCAGCACTGAAATAGCAGAGTACAATGCGGCTCTTTTAATCAAATGGTCTTTAGAGACTGATTGGCACAGTGTGGTATTTTGGTGAGCGTGCATTCTAGCGTTGCAATGTTTTTCTATGGGAAACCAAAGAAAGACATACAGCATGTTTATACGAAACCTTACAGCTTAATACACCTGTCAACTATTCAGACTTGCCTTTCCATAACCTTCACCTTGTAATCCAAAAATGAAGATGTAGTGAGTAAATCACAAGTTAGAATGTTCTTATGTTGATAATGTTTTCTGACCTCAGTGGTGTTACTGGCAGCGAAATGGTTCGTTAATTTTGGATTGTGATTGCTTTTAAAATAGACCGGCACTAGACTGAAATTTACCTCTACGTCTATTTGTTATATACATTATGTGGCATATCCTTGACTCATTCAGGGTTATTTACTGAAGTGAGAATTGTCAGAAACGCAAAGTATTTTCAAATGCAAGGCCAAAACAGACAAACTAGAAAAATTCTCCAAACTAGCTATGCTTCTAGTTTAATTTTAAAATTTACTTAGAATTTATTTTGAATTGCTTGCAATTCTCACTTTATTGCAGTGGCTCCCAACACAGTCATCAAGTATCCCCTTACAGTCCAGGATTTAGGGATTGCCCCATTGTGTCTAAGGTGTTTTTAGAAAGAAAAAAAACTCTTTAGACACAACAGGGTAATCCCTAAATTCTGGACTGCTAGGGGGTACTTCAGGATTGGGTTAGGAACCCCTTCTTTAGTGAATAACCACATTAAAATTTGATTATATATTTTCTTACAAGACAAAAAATGTAGGTGGCAGTGGTGCAATTCAATCACCAGGCCTGGCAAACACTACCCCGCGGGAGGGAATTGTTTTAAGTCCCACTCTACATGAGGATCATCATCTAATTAAAAAAATAGGGTCGTCATTGCCTAGAAAGCAAACGGCATGTTATATCTATCTCCTCAAAATATCTACACCAGCAAGGGAGTCAGTGATAATAGCTTCGCTAGTTAAATCAAGTAATTTGACCAAGGAATTGACTACCTCTGAAAGTTATTCTGACAAGACCTTTGCGAGTATCCTGACCACATTGGGCCTGGTGATGACAATTACGACGGACCTAATTACAGAATCTTATCAGCAGAAAACATTAAAACAGTTATACCTCCCAATTGTCATGTATCTGGTGGAGGCAGTGGTGTATATTGGTTTTGTGCTGCTCAAGGCATGACAAAACCCAGGCACCCCCCCCTCTCTAAATTTCACTTCCTTTTAAAAACCAACAAGCTCTTTGCCTGACAGACAGACACCTTCACTGATGCATACACTGACATACACTCACTGACAGATACACAGTCATTGTCACACACACTGTTTAACCAACACACACTTTCACTGAAACATACACAGTCACTGACAGACACACATACACATTCACCAATAAATACACATACACACTCACTGACAGACACGCATTCATTGACAGATACCCATACACACTCGCTGACAAGACAAATACACACTCATTGACAGATGCACACTCACTCAGTGTCAGACACACACACTGTGACACACATGTATTCACTGATAGACACAGACTGACAAACACACATGCATACACAAACACACTCACTGACAGACACATATACACTCAGTGTCAGACACACACATTCGCTAAGGGAATACACATTGACAAATACACTCTCAGTGACAGACATGCATACACACACTGACAGACACACATGGACAGACATACACACTCACTAACAGACAGACACACTCTCACTAGTGATGTACCGAACGGTTCCTGGCGAACATAGCATGTTCGCGTTCGCCACGGCGTGCGAACATATGCGCGGTTCGACCCGCCCCCTATTCGTCATCATTGAGTAAACTTTGACCCTGTACCTCACAGTCAGCAGACACATTCCAGCCAATTAGCAGCACACCCTCCCTAGCAGACCCTCCCACCTCCTGGACAGCATCCATTTTAGATTCATTCTCAAGCTGCATGCTTAGTAAGAGGAGGGAAAGTGTAGCTGCTGTTCATAAGATAGGGAAAAGCATAGCTAGGTTAGGGATAAGGGTATGCTTTTTTTGGATTTTTTTTTTCTATCTAATGTAAATGCACTTAGTTGTCTGCCACTGCTGCCAGCTTCTGTGTCAGGCTCACAGTGCCCATTTCCCCAGTCAGTGCCACCAATTACATCTGGTGTCACAATAGCTTGGATTTAAAAACAAAAAACTTTTTCACTGTTATAGATTGAATAGCAGTCAGTTGTCTGCCACTGCTGCCAGCTTCTGTCAGGCTCACAGTGCATACTGTGCCCATTTCCCCAGTCAGTGCCACCAATTACATCTGGTGTCACAATAGCTTGGATTTAAAAACAAAAAAACTTTTTCACTGTTATAGATTGAATAGCAGTCAGTTGTCTGCCACTGCTGCCAGCTTCTGTGTCAGGCTCACAGTGCATGCTGTGCCCATTTCCCCAGTCAGTGCCACCACTTAGATCTGGTGACACAAAGCTTGGATTTAAAAAAACAAAACACTTTTTTCACTGTTATATATTGAATAGCAGTCAGGTATTAGCCAGCGGGTTATTATGCGGCTAACGGTGGATCGCTGACAAGTGCCACTAATTAGATCCTGTGTCACAATAGCTTGGATTTAAAACAAAAAACTTTTTTCACTGTTATAGATTGAATAGCAGTCAGTGTCCTTAAAGCAGGTGTGATGCGCTAACAGTGGATAAGCTACGGCAAGTGCCACTAATTAGATCTGGTGTCACAATAGTTTGGATTTAAAAGAAAACAAAAACTTTTCACTGTTATAGATTGAATAGCAGTCAGTGTCCTTAAAGCGGGTGTGTTACGCTAACAGTGGATACGGTGACCAGTGCCACCACTTAGATCTGGTGACACAAAGCTTGGATTTAAAAAACAAAACTTTTTTCACTGTTATAGATTGAATAGCAGTCAGTGTCCTTAAAGCGGGTGTGTTACGCTAACAGTGGATACGCTGACAAGTGCCACTAATTAGATCAG